TTTCATCTGCTTGCACAGAAGGAAGATAAAATAATCCACCAATCTGTTCAAATTGAACGCTTCTTGGCCCAAATTTACGTCAATGAATCTAAATTTCCAAACCAATGTCGAGATTATGAGGCGTAAGTGAAAAAAATTTTATATATTATGTAGATGATTTTGATAAAAGGGAGTTGAATATAGCAGATTGCCTAGCTCACGCAAAATGCCGAAATTTGTTACCAATTGGTGATCACCCCTAAACTTTCATATGTACATGTACGAAATGGATATATGTGCTACACCGATCTACTAGATCTACTGCTTCCCCATATTACCAGTCCCAAACGAGAAAGCAAGGGGCCCATGGTGCCGTGGTAGAGTATTGAGCTCAGTAAACAAAGGTCCCGGCTTCAAATCTCGGGGGTTCTAAACCTTGAAGTTGGGTATGACTGACTGATGGCTGCTTACAAGCCAAAAATGGCCATTTCGGTCTCCTTTTGATTTGTCGGATCCATTTCAACATGAGCGAAATGTCTGAAATAATAAGGATAACCTTTTGAGGAGTTTAAACTTATGTAAAATATAAGAAGTGCTATCAGGTTGGTAAGAACTGGCAACTTTCATAAAAAGCTCGTGATTTCGAAAAGGCGAAAATCGCTGTAAATATGATTGTCAGACGAAATCTTAGGGATACACATTTATGCATATTAGGACACCTATCATTTCCTTAAACGTATTATAAGTATTTTTGGCACTGGATTACAGTTTATTGCAAAGTATTCTTAACATTGTGGCGAATACTTCAGGATTTTTCCTATGTTCAAGCTACTTTCTATACACTTATATTTCGTTGTGTTTATTTATTAGAAACATGAATGTGAGGTTTGGGATATAAGATTATACGGAGATGGCCATTTGGGTCATATTTTTAGACTCGCCCAGATATGAAAACTTGTTGTCGGAAAAGTGGACGTCCACAACAAAATTACGATATTAATATGTATAAATTCAAAGGGCGTAGTCCCTGATGCAGTCCCTGCCAGGACAGCAGGGAACAAATAAATGACGTGACTGCTCCTCAGCTGCGGCCTCTCGCTACATAACATGAGTTACTTATGAGAGAATATAACAATTGAATTCATAGAGAAAAATCATTACAAACAAACATATTTCCTTCACCCCTTCTTGCTTTCAACGTCATCTCCCCACTTTTGCTTTCCATGGTGTGCTTTAACTTGCTTACATTATCTTTTAGCCTCCGCGGCAATTTACTATGACCTTGTTGCTTGAATCGGTTTCTCGGTACGAATTCAATTTGTGCGTTCTCTCATACGTTACTTTTTTATGCACTGAGAGGCCAGGGGAGCATGCTCTAGGGAGCATGCGCGAAATTTATTAGTTATTTGCAGTCCTGATCTGCTTCTAACTTTGAAAGCATTATTTTTTAAGGAACATAGTTAAAAAGCATTTAATTAGATGCTTCGCTGACAATTGTTCGCACATGTTGGCTTGTTCTAAGGGGACTTCTAG